CAGTACAGCTCTCGATACTGGAATATACTGTACTGGCAGCACGGCTCTCGGTACTGTACTGTACTGGACGTTTTAGTACGCAGTTAAATACTGGAATAAAAATACTGTACTGTACTAAACCTGCCCGTGCAATCTTTGCCCTTGACCTAAGGCACGCCTTCCCTCTCCACACTCAAACGAAACACGACGTCGCACGTCAGCCTGAACGATGCTGCACTGGCTTCTCCGTACTTCAATGAACTTGCTGCAGTGATGTTGCGATTCAATGCCCATGTTTCTTACGCATTCTCTTCTATACGAAAAATCCGTATGCTGCATCCCCGTCTTATCATGTCTTGCCCGCAGCACTGCGCTAGTGACCGGCACACTGCTGCCGTCGAGGCGGACCCTCACTTTGCGGCGCTGCTCGCATTTGAGAGCTGGACGGGTGCGGAGGGCGACTCGAGCGTCGTACGCGATACAGCTCCGGGCCGAACAGCAGCGTACCCGACACCTAAAGCAGAGATGGCCGGCCGCGACAGTACCGCCGTGTCGCCGGCGTTGTCGCCGGCGTTGCCGGGACCGGCGACGAAGGGGGAAGGCCACGAAGAGGGGGGTGGCGAGGAGCCCCTCCTTCCGCCGGTTGCGGGAAGCGAGGTGCTGCAGGGATGTGGGGAAGACAACGACCAAAATCCTGTCGCGCTAGGTACAGGTAGCCCCCCGATAGGCCGCCGACAGGGCAGCGCTGTCTCGTCAAGCCGCGAAGGCGAGCGAGAGGCACCCGCCGCGACAAACGAAGACTCGATCTTGGAAGGAGGAGCGATATCTCCCTCCGGGCTGCGAGAAGCGACCGGAGGCGGCGGCGGCGGCTCCGCGAGGGCCTCGCGGGGCTCGCCACGCCTCCGGCCGAAGCCGGATCAGCCGAGCGGGGTGGCTCTTCGCAGCAGCGAACCAGGAGCACCAGGAGAGTGTCGACCAGCGCCGCCGAGAGTCAAGCGTGGGACTTGTCCGCCGGACTGGGACAGCCGGAAGGACCATCGAAAACCAGGCTCCCCTACAGCAGACACGCCGGCAACGTCTGCCGCGAGCGTTCCGTCCTCCCTAACGGACTGCCGCAGTAATCAGGACAGCAGCAGCAAGAGCTCGGTATTCCCGGCCGAATCACCGGTATATGATGTTCAAGGGCCGGACATGTTGCCCCCGTTGTCGGCGTCATCTTCGCCGACGTCGACGTCGTCCACACCTCGCACCGGGCGACGGCGCGGCACCCGCGGCTCTCGGGGAGAAAATTCAAGCTCCGTGGTGGGCGGCGCCTCATCTTCGCCGCCCGATGCGGCACGGAGAATGGATCTGCGGGTGGGACGCGGAGGGACGGGCGGGGCGCCTGAAGCCCCCGGTACTTGGCCCTCCCCTCCTAAAGGCGAGCAACAGCGGTTGACCCGTCCGTCTCCACCACGCGAGATCGGGACCTCGCCGTCTCCCGCATCCGTGACGACGAGCAAGCAAGAGCAGATCGACGAGCGGAAGAAGAAGAGGCGGAAGCGCGCGCTGGCGCTGCTCGAAGCCAGCGCAGGCTGGGCCGCGTCGGTCCGAGAAGCGGCCGGCCCGTGTCCAGGCGACCGCACCCCCAGAAGCCTGACGACCACCAGCGGCGGTCGTCCTTGCAGAAAGGTCACCAAAGCCTCGCCGTCCTCGTCGAGGGGAAGCACGGCGGCACAAAGCCAGCGAGTCTCGAAGGAGAAGAGCCCGAGGGAAGACGTCGGCGGCGGCGGCGGCGGCTCGCCTTCGACGAGCCGCACCAACGGTCCATCGCGCGAGAACGAGGAAGGAGAACAACCGTGTGGTACTGACCGTTCGGGGGTGACGGTAGAGGCAGGGTCGAACGCGGAGGCACGCGATGGCTGCGGGGGGTCGGCTGCGGCCTCGGTACGACGACGTTGCGCGCCGCCGCCGCCGCCGACGACGACTCAATGCCCGCCGTCTCCTGCTGAGGATGCCCACGGGAGGGAGCGGATGCCTAAGAGAGCAAGGCTTCCGCCTGACAACGGACACACCTACGGCGAGGAGTTCGAAAACATCCCCCCCTCGAGCGACCGCACACCACCCAGCGGGGAGAAGAACAGCGGTGGAACTAGCAGCAGTGGAAGAAACCGCAGCAGCGCTCGCCAACCACAAGCCTCGAGCACCGCTAGCAGGATGGGGCTAGAAACTGCCGCAGCGGGCCAGCACAGCTCGCCCGTGTCGAGCGAAGGTACTCGAAGCATTTCGCGCAGGCTAGGGTCGAAGTTTGCGGAGAACCAGACCAGAAGCTCCAACGCCGCGAGCAGAGCGCGTACGAACCGCGTCGCGGTGGGCGCGACCAGCAAAATAGAACCACCCACAAGCAAGCGAGCGCAGGCGAATGCGACCCGCCCGTGCACACGCTCGGAGTTGCCGAGACCTACGCGCCGTAATTGTTTGTCTTCACCGGGGTCTTTTTTGACCGAATTTTCGTAGACCGACGAACTTTTTGGTCGCCAGAGGATGAAATTCGAAACTTGTTTTGTTACTTCTACGCATGAATGTCGTACAGGTCATTGACAGCATTCGGAACGCTGTTTATTTCGCATCTATCATCAGCTTCAGAGTTGTTTTTGTTCGTGTTTCAGCGTGTACTGTAGTAAGGGTCGTTAGGGCTACCTGTTTGCTGTTGTATTTATCGGCTTCAGATTTATTCGGCGTAGTCACGGGTAGGTTTGGATCGTTAGGGCTATGCATACTTGTGTTTGCTGTCGTATGTATCAGCTTTAAAGTTATTCGGTGTTGCAGTGAGGGGTCGCTAGAGCTGCTTGTTTGCTGAATGCTGTTGACAGCAGTGTGCGTGTGTTCGGGAAAAAGAAATCAAACTGCATTCCCTCTTGATGCGTGTAGGTGCCCATTCGGTGTGCCAAAAAAAATCGGGGGAGGGGATAGGTGATCGTGTTTTTTCTGTCCCCCCCACTTTTGCTCCCGTTCCACGTCGTCGATGATACCATCCATCGATTGCGGTGGGAAAGGGGTGACGAGCGCCGGGCTGAAGTGAATGCCCCTGTTGTGGCAACGTGACAACATTCAGCTCTTGATCTTTGGAGGCTTACTGTGTGTCGTTGGGCTAATGCGATGTCACGGGCTGTTGTCAGCCCATATCATCTATCTGTGCTGGCAAACCAACCGCGCCGTTGCTTTCGAAAGTGACTCTTTCGTAGGAAATATGATCCAATGAAAACGATATCTGCGTGGTGTACGTCACATATACCCAGATACCCGGAGGATAAAGGAGATGAGCGATGGAACGCAATTTTGTAAGGACATCACACATCGACTACTCCACATGTATAACGCATCAATCATACCGTACATCGGCGGCATGAGATACCACACCCACACCCACCCCCGCGCGATTGCTCTACGACGAAGAGGATGCCGAAATCAAATGATGCGTTCTCGGAAATCTCTCGATGAGGCAGTTCCAACGCCGCCGTTATCGGCACTTTCGCTGCTTGTCCTGCCGAGTATTCGAGCTTTGAAAATCACTCCACGGGGGTGTGACATCTCATCCAACACACGGTTCGCATCGGGTAGACATGCATGTACTACTGCTGTGTACTAGGCCTGTCCTCCATCGGCCGTTTTATTTTCGATTTAGATACACAAGCTTTATTTCCATACTAATTTCAAGTAATTCCACCTTCTTATTCTCCGTCATACAAGCAAAACGGCCGATGGAGGACAGGCCTACTGCTGTGTACTGAGTTGTAACGTCATCCATTCGGTTCCGCCATCTCCGTAGAGTGAGTTGCAATTATCTTCGCATTTTCTGGTGCTGCCGAAAATGCATCCCCACACGCTTCGCCGGCTCAGCTTTCCACCCTCTCTTCTCCTCTTGGCTGCTGCGCCATGTGTCAGCTCATGGGCATGCAGGTGCGTACTACTAGAGTTTTTGGTCACGCCGTGAAGCCTGCACCAATCGCCAATTCTAACGCATTCATGGTTCCGCCGCACCTTCGGCAGCTGTTAGACAGGTGCCGAGAGCCACCATCAATGTACAGCAGTTTTGATTTCAACGTGCGGAGAGGCACGGTTTTTGCACCTGTTCGCGTTTGCTTGTGCAGCAACTGTGGATACATGGCATCGAAGGTGCTGCGTCCGGTATGGACACGGAAAGTAGAAGAGGCTACTCAAGAAGCACATTTTTTGCGGATGATCAAGCACAGCATGTGTCCGTCTGCACACGTTGTTGGGTAGAGTGGTACGCGATGGCCTGCACGCGTTCCAGCATTTGAAGTGTTGCCATCACTAAACTGCTGCACTGGCATGCCGTGTGTGGTGCTCTCTACCGACGACAACTGCGACGGTTTATTGCTGCCCACAACGTACGTATGTACGTGTGCTCCGTCCACCACGAGACAACAGCAGCAGTAGACTGTACGGCCTGGTGCAACGCGGCGCGATCTACATGTACACAGCACGGGAGCTACAACCAACGGTATTGACGCGAGGCCCGCAGGAACCTTGGCACAGGCACATCATCCACACCGTTGTTTTCCTAGATGACTTGTCTGGATCTTTGTCTAGGTTGAAGATGAAAAACCATAAGCTAATTTCCCGTTCGGAAATTAAAAAAAAAACGTGTTGCAGAGGAGCCTTAGCCTTCCATCCCCTCCCCACCCCCCGCTCTTCTCAGGCTCATCCTGGCATTCTTTTTTGGGACGCAGGCCGAGGATGGGTCTACCAGAAGTATGAATGATTTCGTGTGGAACTCCGCGCTATCGTTTTCCAGAATTCTTGAAAAATACCGGCGTCGCTTTCTTCAATCCTACTATATGTACTACACTGCGGCATCGTCAACATCGTATTTAAGAGACATGCTATGCGTTGGTGATTGCTAGAATGGTGTGATATCTTTCTTGGGTCCATCGCACGATGTCAGGCCAACACTCCGACGGACTTTTGCTTCTCGTTTCGCGGGTTCCGGGAACGCGGGGGGCGGACGGGTCGCCACGTCGACGGGTGGGGCGTGGCCTTCTTCGAAGGGAAAGGGTTCCGAAATTTCTGCGATTCCTTGCCGAGCGCGCTGAGCCCCATCGCCAACCTGATCTGCAACTACCCGATCAAGACCCGGACGGTGATCGCCCACGTGAGGATGGCGACGCAGGGCAGGGTTCGCCTTGAGAACGTACACCCTTTCTCTAGGGAGCTTTGGGGAAGGTATGCAGTCTGTGCGTGTGCGATGGCGTGGGACGGCTCATGATCAATTTCAAGACGCCGGGGCATGTATGCGGGCGTAGCTTACTGGAGGAGAGAGTCATTCGTCGGCGAATTGTATAGACTAAAAGGTTTAGAACGGGATGATAGACGGTAGTGCAGTTAAGCACCCTTCCACAGTCATGCACGAGTGGTTTGCCGTGTGTGTGTTTTGTTGAATGAATTGTCAAATGTGTCCAGCTCTGAAGGCTGGAATTGTTTCTAGATGCTAGTGCGGCTGCTGTGGGCCTGATGTGCTAGACCCTCCAATGCGCCTTGACCGCCCACACACCCAAACCTGGCACATACCAACCGCGTCCCGGCGTGTTATCGACATGCGGCGGGGCAAGGGAATATGGCTGGAGGATGATACGGCAATGCATGGACACTCTACACCTTCCCCGACGTGCGTATTTCCCGCCCGGCCCTGTACTCCTCTACGTGTTTTTTTTTGTACCTATGGAATACCACCATCGACGACGACGACGAAAACAACAACAACGTCAAGCTACTGGATATTCGCGCACAACGGCGATGTGCCGTCCGCCAAGGACCCCGCCACGAGGGCGCTCTTCCTCCAGACCAAGAGCAAGCGGTACACCCCCGTGGGGGACACGGACAGCGAGGCGGTGTTCTGCTTCTTTCTCAATCGTCTCTTGGACGTCTTTCCGCACGGTGAGAGAGGCAGCCACCCCGCAGCCCCCTTGAATGCATGTTGTTGTTGTTGTTGTTGTTGTCGCCTGCCACCATGGCTTGACCGGGTGTCAAAATTTTGATATTCCTGTTGTCAGTATTTAATTTGACTCTGCCAGGTGCCAAATTTCGACCTTTTTTCTCTTGATTATATAGTGGTACTGTGGGATATGTGTATGGGGAACACGAGCCTCTGCGGCGAGTCCCCCCCCCCCCCC